AATCGACCAACAGAGAACATAGATCAAGGTAATTTGTTACACCTGGAGGAAAAATTATCAAAGATGATAGCATTTGATCATTCAAAGACTATCAATGAGAGAAATTCATTACGGACAGGTATAGGAGAGGGTCAGAAGATATCCATTAATGATACCGCTGATAAAACTTCAAGTTTACCCAGTGTTTCTTTAAACCGCTCACCACTAGTTCAAGCACATGTTCATAACAAAACCTTGTATACACAAAGCGACAAACTTCTTAAAAATGAATTGCACAAATCTGAGACAAAATTTATAAGCCATCAGGAGTCTGTCCCAGCTATGGACAAAACAAACAATGTAAGAGGCCAGTTGGAGGTCAAAACTTCAAACGGCGACTTGGAGAGCGATGATTATGGCTTATTTAGTGGCTCTGCAAATTCTGTCTTGGATTCCTCTACATGGTACACCTCTACTGAAGGAGAAGGCTCCTTTTACAACCCCCAAAAAGAGGAAATCAAAACGCAAAAAACGCAGAAAACAATGGTCATAAATGCAGCTTCTCATCACAATACTAAAAAAGTATCCAATTATCTACAAAACAGTGCCTCTGAAAAATACAGAGAAGCGAGCAAAATTCAGTCATTACGCAATGAAAGTTTACTTATAACGGATGGATATATGTCAGGCGAATCCCAAACAGCTATAACTTCAGATGATGAGGAAACGAGAGAAACAAATTTCATGCAGGAAACCGGTTTAGTCACTAAGCTTTTGAAAAAATCCGACAAAAAGTTACAAATATGGATGACAAATTTGCTAAAAACGAATTCCTCTGAGCTGAAGAGAATTTTTACAATTCTTCTCGTGTTAGTTGTTGTGGGAGAGTTTTTAGAAGCTCCTTCAGCCACACTAGCAGACGCATCCCTTTTAGAGCATCTGGGCGAAGAACGACGAAACTATGGAAAACAACGATTATGGGGTTCGCTTGGATTCGGGTTATCATCGTTTCTCGTTGGAGTTCTGTTGGAGAGGTCTCGGCATATTGTTTGTGGCGATCCATACACGGACTACATGATATGTTTCTGCGTATTTGCGTTATTAATGCTAACGACATTGTTCATATCAACGACATTCAAGTTCAAATACAAAGAAACTGACACGAAACAAGTAAATGTGCTTTGGGCCCTTTGTAACATTCATTACGGCTCATGCCTAGCAGCTGCCTGCTTCATGGGAGTTGGTCACGGAATGTCTCATAGTTTTCTCAACTGGTTTCTCGAAGATCTAGGAGCTACAAAAACATTGATGGGCGTCGCTGTAATTTGCCGCAGTTCTTTGGACTTATTGACATTTTTCGTGGCGGGAAGCCTGATAAAGGCCGTTGGACAGATAAAAATTATGATCTGCTCGCTGATCTCGTACGGAATTGCCTTCACACTGTACTCCTTACTCACTAACCCATGGTGGGTTTTGCCCATTGAAATGTTAGTAGGGTGTACCTATGCAGCCTCATGGTCAGCTTGTACTTCATACATGGCAGGTGCGGCGTCCTCAGAATCAGTTACAACTATTCAAGGTATAGAACGGTCCCTACGCCTCCCTAGATAACTCTCGTTAACTCTTTGATCTTTCAGGAGGTGAATAGATATTGTTCAACATATTGTTGTTTCTTTTCTTTTTCTATACTACACTGACCAGGGACTTACCATTAGCCCTAAGGCATACCATCGCACTTGAGACTTAGGACTCTGGAATTGAAGAGAATTAAAGGCTTGCTAACTCTTTTCTATCATTTGAATATTCTCTGGTGTGAACAGTTTAGAAAGGTTTATAGCACAGGATGGAAAAATATTTTTTCTACCAGGAATACTGATAGCTGTTATAAACAACTCTGAAGGTCTATTTTTTTTTTTATCAACCGTGAAAAGTGATCTTTGTTTATCATAGAAGTAAACTTAGCTTTTTCAGCTATTTTGAAGGAATCCACTCAAATAATTACAAAAATACCCGAATAAGAAAAAACTGGCTAGAGGCAACCAGTTGGGTATTAACAAACATGGCCGAGGATTTGAACTCAGTTTTTTTTCACTCTCGCGGCCAAACAAACCGCCAGCAACGCAGGCTAGGATGACCGCGGAACAAATCCAGGTAGTGTTCGAGGTGGGACTCCAACTGATCACTCGGCCACACTACCTGTTATGTGGCTTAAAGCATAATTTGTTTAGATAATTGTTCCAAAGGGTACAATTTTTTATTTTCATAGGTATTCTCCAAGGTGTTTACTGGGGACTGGGAACAGGCTCGGGTACTATAGCAGGAGGGTTTCTTATCCATCATATTGGAGCAGTGGCCACATTTCGCTGCGTCGCCTGCTGCGCCTTCGTGGCCTGCGTTTTGTTCTGTTTTGCGCAGATGAGATGGACGCAGGAGACAGCTGCGACTCGTCAGCTGGACTTTGAGTACACGTATCTACCCACAGTGGAGTCAAAAGATACTGAAGAACTTTTACGAGGGTACAGAGTATCCAAGGGTACGAAGAAAAAACATAATACGACGATTAGGAGATACGAATATCGCTAGGAATCCGACAAGGTTTATGCCGAAAGCTGAACCGTGGTCAATGTGGATAACTCAAGTTAGAACTATCTTCAACATCAATTGTAATGAGAGCTAAATCTCTGAATGGAAATCGACCAGTACCTCCGGTCGAAATTAAACTCAAGACCTTATATAAGAAATAAATCTTCTTTCTACCATCTGAGTTAAGTTCCAGGCCACGGATCTTGGAACTGCACCTGAATGAAATTGGGTTCAGGGCCTGGAAGGGTAATATACCATAATGCACCTCAAGGTGCATTATGGTCTATATGAAAATGATAAATTCCCGGCATCCGTGATTTGATCAAAATACAATGCGAGATTTGAGAAAACGTTGACAGGATACAGGATTTGACTCCCACTCGGGAGGCGCGCGGAATTCGCCAAAATTTGGAAACGGAAGCGGATTGGGAAAGAAAATGATATTCGGGAAAGCGATGACGGAAGTTCGGGATGCTGGATTTCTTGTGAGAAAAGTGCGGGAATACCGGATCAGGACTCCCTTTTCCAGACCCTACAGGAACATCAATTCCTGTGTCGAGATTGCGTAGCAGGTTCTCATGTACATAAGCAAAAAGTATGATATACCCGTACCATTAACAAGTGTCAAAACTGAAAAAAAGCATAAGACAAAATGTGATAATGTAGCTTACATTACGAAATGGTAGCACAACATATTAAATTAAAATAAATTCCATAACTTGTATCGTTCTTTGCTTTTTTTAAAAAAATTACTGAGCTACTTGCAATAAGTAGTAAGCTTGGACAATTCGCCCTTTAATACATTTTAAGGAAACTAATAACTTTTTCAACACCGAGGATTTACCGTGGTATCTTTTGTTACTGGTCAACCTATGGCCCCATGTAAGACATGTAATGGAATCCAAGACAGTCACGCTGTGGATTCAGGATTCCAGGTACCGGACTTGGATTCCGGATTCCAAAGCAAAAATTTGCTGGACTCCAGATTCCGGATTCTCTTACATGTGGCGAAACCTCCACGCAAACGTCTCCTTCTAAACTAGGCCACGGCTCGTCTTCATTCAAAATGCTTTCCTTTACAAGGGCTAAGTTGTGCGAAAACCGAAGAGTTCTACAATTACCTTGCAATGACCATAGCAGCAAGAGGAATCTGCTTTCGTTGCTGTTGTTCTCTTAATATTTTTGTTTTTATTTGTGTTGAATAGAGGCATTATTCTTCTTTTATTCATGTGAATATTTGTATCAAATCATTTCAAATTCAAAGCGTAAGCGCCCAAAGCAGTTCCGGTGAAGTATGTCTCGTTGCCTTTGGATATTAACTACTTTCGAATCTACCATATTAAATGCACTCTTTTTGTCCCCCACATTTTGCAGAAGGATTTCTAAAAAAATGCATTTAAGAATAAGCAGTCCTCCCAGGAGGATTTGAAATCAATAGTTTATGTAAATTTTTGGAGGGGGCAAAAACTAGTGTGTTATGTAATAGGCCAAACATTTTACACTTGTTACTGCAACAAACGATCCCACAGATCTTTGCTGGAATCTGGTACTGAGGTGCTGATCCGAAGCTTGAGGACGGGTGATCTCTAAATTTAAGCTACTTTAAAGAAAAAACCGTGGCATAAGCACTATGACAGCCTATAGCAACGGGTAAACCTGTCATTTAAGGAAAAAGATAAAGACAAAAGGAGTACTGGCTTGAAATCACTTAGCTTTTACTGCGTTCATACACCAAATCGTCACATTAGGGTCACAGTACTAATAACTGATCGAGAAAGTGGGGTGAAAAGCGTAGCAATTCAGAATCCAGCGTACAGAACAAGCGCAAAACCTCTCAAAGTTTAGTGTAAAAATAGTCATGCTCTGAATTTTCAACAGTCATATTGATGTTATATATTGACCTTTCAAAGATACTAACACACAATAAGACTTTTTGAAAGTAAATTAAAATTCTCCAACTGATAAGTCGAATAATCCTAAGGATTAGGAATTAAAACTGCTAATATCGCCCTATGTAAGGGACTCTGGGTTCCGGAATCCGGGGAATTTTTGCTTGTGCAATCAGAAAAGAATTCGGAATCCCACTAAAGATTGGAATCACAAATCCAAGTTCCACTGACAAAAAAATCCGGAATCCAGTACCTGGAGTGCGGATTTCTGGGTTTTGGAAATCCGGAATCCCACTAACGATTAGAATCAGAAATCCAGGTTCCACAAAAAAAAATCAGGAATCCAGTACCCGGAATCCGGAATTCTGGGCTTTGGAATACGGAATATAGCTCAAGGAATCCGGAATCCAACTAAAAATTGGAATCAGAAATCCAAGTTCCTTCTGACAAAAAAAATCCGGAATCCACTACCTGGAATCCGGAATCCACAGCGTGGAATCCAGAATCCAAGACTGCTTGGATTCCCTTACATGGGGCGACCTAATAGAATCAATACGATAAGGATTCACAGTGGATTTCAGGATTTCTTTGCTGTGACGATTTAGCTCTGTTCTCCAAAGTGGTTGCCTGTGTCGTCTGCTCGCAAGCATTACACTCTTCGGGTATCCTTTCACCTTCATTCCCATCACTCATCGGCTGAGTGTCCATGGTATCTGTGCAGATATTAAAAGTGTTCAGCAGCACCGAGTAATAATTGCGATCTCGAAAGTTCACGTATCTTAAACCGAAGGTGAAGACGATTATAAACATGACGGCCAACATTGTGAAGAGACGGAACGCGATTGTCGGTCCGGCAGCATGGATCAGATTGTTTCCAATAAGGAGACCTAGTATACCTCCCAGGCCCCAGTAGACGCTTTGAAACACACCTGGGAAAAAAGAGAAGTTCGTATTATAATAAAGAAGTGATAAGCTATTAAAATGTGACAGCATGGCTAGCTAGGAATAGTGCACGACAAATCTCAGGGTACAGCCTATCTGCGGACGTAATCATGATCGTCCATCCATGCATTTCTCACACGATCGGCTCCATGTCAATCAAAATGTAATGTGCTAGTTTTAAAACTCTTTGGTTCCACGACTCTCATTATACAATAGTTTTTTTTGCTACCCTTCTTTGACAAATGTAAAACTTCCTTATACTGTGTGCGAGTGACTCTGGTTGCAGTAGAGCATTTTTCTAGAAGGAGACTCCGGATGTGGGCAAATCCAAATTTGGTGCCCTCGTTTGGTTTACCCTCTTTGCAGAAGACAGCTGCAGGATTCTAAGCAGCTATTGGCCCTCTGGTCTCTTTAGAGGCCTATTGCAATTTTCACTGACTGACCAGATCACAACCTAAACCTAGCAACTTGCTAAGTACTGAGGCTACCTGATGCATGTAGCAAGGGAATAAGGAGAATGAGAGATTAACAGGTCTGGCCGGCGGCTTTGGACGCAGAGGCGTCAAGCTCAAATTCTTTGGTACAACGGAGGGGAGAAGGCTGAATCTGGTGATGCTTGCTCTTTCTTTTTATCGCTTGTTTTTCTCCTTTACATCGGCATAATGCAGCTCTATTCCTTTCAGAGTCACGCATCTGCTGCTTGCCTTCCAGAAAATGAGGGTCATCAACCACGGTCTGAAGCATTCTGCCTCTTGTTGAAATGCTGGCCGTGGAAAGTTGTTTTTCCAGCTTTAGGGATTTCACAAAAAGTGTCAGTCTGGCTTTTGACATACATGTGTCCTAAAATCTTCCGACATGTTCCGCCCAGGTAGCTATAGTCAGAGTAGTCAGAGGAACATGGATTCCATTCTTACAAGACCAAGTATAGCTTCGGTTCAAAGGCACTGGTCCAGGCATTTTACACCAAGGATGATCCACGAATCGCTTAAATTTGTTTGACTTTGGTAAAGGACCTAGGCCTCTGCACCTTAAGCTACCACCGAGATCATTGAATAATGCAACAGTTCTCTAAAACTGTGTCTATAGAAAGGCATAAAGAGAGGCTCTACCAGACCTTTGAAATTCACAAACTTACCGTCGATCGTACGAGGCTAACGTGTACATTGCCTTTGGCATAAGTGTTATCACAAAACCTGATCGAGGTTTGTGAAGAAAATAACAAAGAACGCACAAACTAGATTTTATAACGAAAATCTAACAACTGACAAATATACCAAACAGTTACAAACAACTGGTAAAGACATTGTTAAAGAAATTGGCGAAAGAACGCTTCCTATCGTCGGTACCAAGACCATTTAGGAGCATTTGTGCTGCAAAGACCTAAAATGTTCCATTAAGGCTGTGGTAAAGAGCTCTGATATCTCTTTTATCTCTAAAAATTAATTGCCATAAGGGCAAAGCTCATTACCTTGTACAGTTGTTATATAATCAAACGGAGATGATTTCGCCAGATAAGTGACGCATGCCACAAACGAACCTCCAAAGGTGAAGCCTTCAAGAAAGCCGAGTGGAATCACATGCCAGGGACTGGTGACAAATGAGCACGCGAAATGATTAAACATGTTCAATACGAGAGAAGCGAACATCATGTTTATATCCCCGATATGTGCTATTAGTTTATGGCTGACAAAGAAGGCTAATGGCTCGCCTAGCAGACGGAAGGCATTTATTGTAGCAGATGACGAGTGTCCAGTATTACTTTCCATGAGATATGTGGTATGAAAATTCGAAATCACGATATGTGAAAAACCCAAAAACGCCACAGAAGCAAAGAAAGATCCGTAGTGTTTGTTGTGAAAAATAGTTTTAAGCGTCTCGTACGGAAAACCCTCTGGACGTCTTGATGGTCCTTCGAACTTGATCAACACCAACAACGTAATTATTGTTAAAACACAGTAAAAGCAGAAGTTGATGACATAGTCTGCATACATATGTCCACAGACCGGGCGAAATGAATCATTCACTAAAGATCCAGTGATTAAAAAGAATATCAGAAAGCCGATAGAGCCAAAAACCCGTTGATATCCATATACAACAAGAGAACCCTCTTCCGTCTGTTTGGCCAGTAAAACTGCGTCAGCAACAAACATCACTGGGCACATGAAGATCTCTTCAAACACGACGATCGCTATGGCCCCAAGAAATATTTGATATAACCTAGAGGTATTTTCTCTGAGTTCGTTTCGTATGGTGAAGTTAAACTCGTTGGGATTGGGCGTGTCATTAGAGCTTGATTTATGATGGGGAGATAAAATTTTTATGAAGTCGTGAGTCTTATTTGTATCAGTATTATTAAGTTCGTCCATTCTTTTGTTGGGATGCAAAGAATCGATAATAAGTCCACTTCCAGATGCTTCGTTTTCCTGTGACACTGCTGCAGTGTCTGTGCCCGACCCGAACGAAACGTCCACACTCTCTGAGCCACCAGAAGTCAAATTTACTTTGTGTACTTTAGGAATCAGCTT